TGGAGATCAGCCTGTTTTCCAGTGCAGTCCTGTTTCTCTAAATGTGACTGCCTGCATGTGCTCCCTTCATCCTCTGACATGGGAGTTGGCTTGGAGCTTGTCTGCCTGGCTGTGTGTTTCCTGGACCGGGCTGCCTTTTACAGCTGCTTTTTGTATCTTCTGTCTCCTTGAATCCCAGTTGGCCTCAGCAGATGGCCATTCACACTGAGCCTGGTTCTGCTGGAGGTTGCTTCCTGTTAAAAGAGAGTTTTTCCTCTCCACTGTCGCTACAAGCATGCTTAGTGTGAGGGATTCCATTCGAGTCAATGAGTCGATGCAATCAACTGGTTTTCCTTAGATAGAAAACTTTGAATCGATTTGACTGGATGACCGGGTGAACTGTAAAGTATCTTGAGATGACATGTGTTGTGAATTGGAGCTATATAAATAAACTGAATTGAATTGAAGCTCAGCTTCTAAACCCCATGGTCATCTACATAGTTTTGAGCTCCATGCCGTTCCACCAGAGAGCCAGCTGATCAGCCTCAGTCTGTAGGCCACTCATTACCGTTCTAGATGAGACTAATTAGCGTTGGGTCATTGGCAAACTTCATCAGTTTGATTGAAGGGTTTCCCAAGGTCCTGTGTAGCAGACACTTTTATCATTTTTTTTTAATCAACTCTTTAATGTACGTTTGATTTCATATTTTATATCTAAAGTTCATTGCTCTGGTATTTTAACTTTACTCTCAGCTATCCAGCAGTTTTAGCCTCTTTGAACACCTTAAAAGAACTTATGACTCTATTTCATGGCACCATTGGCTCTTGAGGGCCAAATACTTTCCTGTGGCGTGCCAGAAGAAGAGCAGAGGGGAGATCACACAAACCTGGGGCGCACCAGTACTGATAGTTCAGGAGCTGGGTGTCCCAAAGCCTCATTTTATAGTCCTTTAGGTCAGGATGTAACGGCCTCCACTTACTGACAGGTGGAGGCCGTTACAGTGAAAGTAAAGATGTTTAGGATCTTATTAGGTGCGGAGGTGAAGTCCATTAAAAGGACCCATATGTCTCTGGATCTTTGCAGTTTTGCCTGATGTGATGCAAACCCAGTTTATTAAGAGTTAATCGCCAAAACAAAAAAGTACTATTGATATAAGCAGGATCTTCATAAGGAATTAGCAAACCGTATGATCTTATGACTTTTCCCCGGGGCCTAAGAGCCCTTAAGTTTATTCACACATTGAATACATGTTGAAATATACTAATTCTCCCAGGTTTTATTTAAATTTTAATCATAATGATTAAAATTGTGGCTTTTTGTACCTGAACTGGGGTTACATTTCATGCATTTATTAGTGAACGTGAATGAATAAGCAAGCAATAGGTTTTTTCTTATCCTTTGTGATTCTCTATGGAAACTTGCTGACAGGATATGGCTGCCAAATTACAAACAAGTAGGAGAGCAGAAAAGCCTTGTTAATCAATGTAGACATTGCCTAAAAGGGCAAATCCACACATAAAATGAATTAAAGCTTGTAAAACAATCACAATTGTATAATTCCCCCAGAGATACATTAACAGCTATACCAAACTACATATATTCTAATATTCTACTGTTTATGGTCTGTTTTACTTAATACAACAGTCACCTTCTTACTAAAAACCTTTAGTTATCAAATAAATTAAAGTAATGTAGCCAATAAAAATTCAGAGTTGGCCCACTGCAGCTTACTGTGAAAGAAGCTGTTGTAATTGCGGATACAAACATTTTGAGCACTATAATTATACCAGAAGTGTTAGTCTGTATACAGGATAAAGGCGCTAGAGCAAGGAGGCCCAAAGAAGAGCTTAAATTAAGGTAAAGGGAAGCCACTATGAAAAAAAGGACCTTATTTACGGCATTTTCATTGCTTAATCATTTTGTACTGTCAATATCAACTGCCACAACTTTTTTTGATGACTATGAAAAAAATTGCATTCCTAGATAATCTCACTAGACTCATTTAATCCTAATTTAACAAAAAGCACTTTTAAATATTCTAAATATCAAACAAAATTGCTTCTTCATTAACTGATTTCCACAGTTAAGACTTTAAACGTTTCTATAAACATTTTATTTATTCCAATGGATTCAGCATACTCTTTGTTCTCCTTGTTCTTTTATAAATGTTATCTATAAATAATTCCACCAGACACATTCATAACTGTTATGCTTTTTGAAAAAGAGAAGGAGAAAAATGTTTAGTTTGCTGAAACATTTAAAAAAATACTGAAGTCTATCTGCTACATGTCATTTACGTTGTAAGTACACTGCTATATATATATATATATATATATATATATATATACATTTATTTCTAAAACTACATCAAAACACTGGTAAAACACATCTGCTAGCCAGCAATAAAGTTGAAATTAGACAATCACTCACTGATTTATTAAAAAAATTGTTATATAGAAGTCACGGGAATGTTCAAGTACGCTTTATTTCATCACTTTGCAGGGAAAACCCTCACATCTTTACATGTGACTTACAAGTAATGCTTTAGTCAACAAATTATTGTGTTAATTTAAATTCTCTTTGAGTCGAGTAACACCATGGTAAAACATCAGTCAGATTACCAAGATAACAACTTTGGATCTCCATGAGTATTGTTTATTTTGGGGTAAAATTTCCAGATGCCTAAAGTTCTCTCACAGACGGAATTGTTTAGGTGCAAAATGTCCTGGTACCGGAGAGTCATTATCTACAATATAATGGGTCAAGTAAAAAGATGGAAAGGACAGAAAGCCATTCCTTCATAAGCAAAATAAAAAAAGCCAGTCCATAGTTTTTAAAATCCACTAAGACACATATACCCTATTTTTTAGGGGACATGTACTGTGGTCTGGTGAAACTGAAATCACATTAGGAAAAGGAGTGAATCATGGAAGCCTGAGAGGTGGTCTGGTGGTCTGAACTGCAACGTATGGTTGTGTCAGTATTAGATTGTATGGGGATTATGCTGCAGGAGGGACTGGTACACTTGATAGAAATGATAGCATAGGGAAGGAACTCTATGTGGATAGACTGAAGCAATATCTCAAAAAAGACTACTGCTGAGTTCTAATCTTTCCCTCATATGAAAACTCTGGAAGGAGCTGTCAAGCTTGAACAAAGCGTCATCTGAACTGGGCCAAGACACCTTCATTCATATGGTGTGGAGAAATCTGACAAAATTTTAGCAAGTTTGTGACAAGCCTGTGTGCGAAAAAGATTCAAAACAAAGAAATCTAACTCAAGGCGTGTATGAAATGGCACCATTCTATAGCAAAGTCACTTTTTTAACGAAAAATACTTATTACTTACTAATTTGGCAAATACAGGTAAGATAAAATCAAAAGAAGACTTAGACAACAGTTCAGCAATCTGATCAATGGCTTAACGACAACAACAATAGGCCCGTAAGCAACATTATCTGGGTGGGCCCCAATATGAAGTACAACACCCCATTCTCCTGGTCGCAATCTTCACTCACTGCAGCAGCAACGTCCACCTCTCCCTCTTCAGTTCTTTGAAAGAACGTGTTTATTTTGGGAAGTTTTTTCCATTCTCCCAGCAGCTCCTCTTTCCTTTTGCTTTTCTGGAATCCGCTTAAGTACCTCTTTTTGGTATCCATCATCTAACACAGCCAACACATTGTATGTAACGGTTATGGTTTTAATCTACGCTCTGGATTAACCATAATTCCAAGTCATAGTGTAAAAGTAAAATACTCAAATACATTGTTCTTTTAAGATCTTTATTGCGGTTTGAAACATATATGAATGCATTTTTTTTTACCAACCGTCTAATAAATTATACACAGTTATTAACATAGTAATTAAAAGTACCACTGTCTGCTTTGCTACTGGTGTTGTGTTTAATTGGCTCACTGTCATGTTGTAATCTGGCGTGTGTTGGGCTATAAATAAGGACCGGCCAGTCAATCGCTCTATTGTCAGGTGGGTTTAAGAGCAATTCTTCACTCCACTACATCTGCAAAGACACGTCCTGGTCTATAATTGCATAGGGGCCAACGAGGTGTTCATGACGGGGCCCCTAAGAGGTCGGGGGCCCATAACCAACTGCAGCCTCTGCTGCACCATATTGAATCTGATATGGTGTAAACATTTAATCTGATGTTAGCAGGGTCCTTTGAAGGACCCAGCCTGCGAATTGAGAAACAACTAGTGTCTAAATATCAGTAAGCAGAGTCTGCCGATGCTAAGGGGCCCCCGACTCCTTAGGGGACCCGTCACTGAAACCTGGTAGGCCCCCTTTGCAATTGTGGACTAGGACATCTGATTGCAGTAAGGGCGCAAAATTCTTCTATAAACTCACCTAAATTCATTTTCAACTGACCGGTCCTTAATTATACCCGAACACATGCCAAATTTCAACATGATAGTGAGCCGTTTAAACACGACACCAATAGCAAAGTAGACAGTGGAACTTTTAATTACTATGTGAATAACTGTATAGTTCATTAAACGGGCGGTAAAAAAAAATACGCTCATAAATGTTTCAAACCGCAATAAAGATCTTAAAAGAACTATTTATTTGAGTATTTTATTTTTCACACTACAGCTTGGACTTATGGGTAATCCAGAATGTTGTAGTTCATATGGGGCAGGGCCTATTGTTGTGTTGTTACGCCAGTGAAAAAAACTGTTGCAGAGTCAGGGATGGACAGGGAATGTTTGGTTAAATTGAAATGTATAAATTAGACAGTAAGAGGGTAAAGTATTATTTCCATTTTTCGTGTATGCGCATAAATATCTGGGTGACCTGATTGCCACCCAATAAAGCTCGGGACCCTGTGAACCTTCAGACCGCATATCCACCCTCAGCTGATTAATGAAAAATGACATCATCTGTTGGGAGGTGGCCAGATGTTATATTTAAAAGTTTGAGCGGACGTCAGAACATTAAACACTGACAAACGCGGTTAACTTTATTTTCTATCTTTTAATGAACACTATGAATCAGTTTTACTTCTCTATTAAATTGTTAATTTCTAGCTATGTTAGGAGTAGCCGTGCCCTCTAGCTCTCGGTCAGCGGATGTAACGTCCTGTCTGTTAGTTAGATGAAGGCGGTGCTAGCGGTGCCCAAGCAGCAGCAGGGCCTCGCCTTTGTGGGTGTAGAGAGAGAAGATGGCTCCCGTTCTGGAGAAACAGCTCCCGGGTGCAGCCGGACCGGGTGACAATAACAAGGAAGACGAAGAAGGACAAAACCTCTGGCAAGTTATGCCGCCTTTTAACGGCTCGGTGTCAGCGCAGACCGCTGCGGGAGGTTGTGCTTTGTCACTGCCGGTTGCTCGCCTCTCAAACACCGGCCCGGCTAGCTCTGTAGCTAGCTTGGATGCTAGCCGATGAGCTAACGTCAGCTGCGGCTACATTTCACTTCACCAAAAACAAAAAGCGTTGCTGTTTTCTGATTGGAGTGCCTTGAAAATCGTCAAGTTTAATTGGCGTTAATATTACTAAAGGTTTAATTCGTTATTTCGAGTGCCTTTTTTCTGTGTTAAATAGCTAAACATTGAATAGCTTCTTCATGAAGGATACAAGTTGACAGCAAGAGAGTGTAAAGGTTAACGAACAGGTCTAAGCAAACTGCCTGAGAAATACCGAAAATTAAAACACTGCTTTTCGGTATTTAGTGTCATTAACTGGGGATCACTGTGGCTGAGATCTTGTCAGATTTCATGCATTCAGGTTGCTACCTGTTCTTTTTTCCTGTGCTGGTCAGTGGTGATAGATGATCATTTCCTGATTCTGTACTCTCGTGGACTCTTTCTTGGACTGCTAAAATAACAGCTAAATTATCAATAAACTAGCGATTATGAGGCTGCTTTTTTGTTTGTTTAAAACTTTCCCTCACAGTCTGGAGGCTCTTCATACTGATTGACGTCCAAACTGATGTTTCTCTGACTCTGTTTTTGTGTTTTGTAGGTCCTCAATACTCAGTGAAGTCTCAACAAGGTCGAATTCAAAGTTACCATCAGGAAAAAATATCCTCGTGTTTGGTGAGTATTTGTTATGCCTGATCTTTCATGCTATGCTTTGGTCATTTTTCTCATTTATAAGTATTATGTAGTTAACCTGTGGGTGTCTGTAGGGCAAACACAATTGAAAACATCCCAGATCCTTAAAATGAAATCACTGTATCAGAGTCTGTAATATCAAACGTAATATGACATAATGAGAAAAAAATGTCTGAGAGGTTTGATTGGGTGGAGTCATTCATGAACGTGCACTATTAACTGTAAATAATGCTGGGTAGTTGTTTCAGCAAAGATGTCATGTCTGAGACACTGTAGCCTCTTCCAGTTATCTCAGGATTTACATAAAAATTTCTTCTCCTCTGCTTCTCATTTTAGATTTAAGTCTTGAATTTATTTAAATGAATACCAATTGCAGCCTATTTACTTCTTAGACTTTGTCTATGTTTACACCGCAGCCAAAAGTGACCCAAACCCGATTTTTTTTATTTTATTTTTTGCCCATATGCAACAGTCTGAACAACACAGATCCGATTTTTTTCCAATCCGACCCAGGCCACTTGGCTATGTGGTCCTGAATCCGATATGAATATTATCTTTTCAAATGCGACCTGTGTCTGAACGCCCAGGTCGCATTAATCCGACTTGAATATCCTTATTACCCGACATTGGTCACTCTTCTGCTTCTTGCTACGCAGAAATTACAAGAACAACAACGATGGTGGACGGTAATGCGGAGAGTAGTATTTATGTTTTACTATCTTGGAAAGATAGTTAAAAAAAAGGAAAGAGCTTTTTTTAGGAAATATCTCTAGATCAGGGGTGCTCAAGCCCGGTCCTCAAGAGCTACTATCCTGCAACTTTTTGATGCACCCCATTTTTAACACACCTGAATCAAATTAGTGGCTCATTACCATGCCTCTGCTGAGCTAAATGAGGAGATTGAGCCTTTCGATTCAGGTGTGTTAGAGAAGAGATGCATTTAAAAGCTACAGGATGGTAGCTCTTGAGGACTGGACTTGAGCACCCCTGCTCTAGATGTTCTCCAGCGCTACATCCATTTTTACTTTCGTGAACACAGCATGCTTGCTTGTGACGTCATTTCGTCCTCTACTGCACATGCGGGACACTGGGGTTGTATGAATGCAATTCACACAGGAGATCACTTACAGCCGTATATATTTTGAAATGTGAATGGCAGCGCAAAAAAAATTTGAATTTCACAAAAAATCGGAATTGAGCATCATGGCCTGGGGTGTGAACATAGCCTTTGACAGACCTTATTGTCATTTTGTATATGCGGCGTGTTTACAAACACAAATTTCGTTCAGTACAGCTCTCAAGAAGTTTCCATTTTTAAAGTGCAGCAGTGATCAAATGTAAACATAAGACTGGTATATGATTCTTTTCTCTAATACAGCTAATGATTATGGTACAATTATTAAATGTCTCGCAGGTGAGGATGGATCGGGAAAGACGACGCTTATGGCCAAACTCCAAGGAGCTGAGCACAACAAGAAGGGGAGAGGGCTGGAGTATCTTTACTTGAGCGTCCATGATGAAGACCGAGATGGTGACTTTACCTGCTACATTGCTTAAAAACGGCCCTCTACAAATGATGGAATAATCATTTGTATCCAAATGATTGGATAAGTCCTAATATTTGTGCTTTGTGTTTGATATAGACCTGACTCGCTGCAATGTGTGGATCTTGGATGGAGATCTGTACCATAAAGGCCTTCTAAAGTTTGCTGTCACGCCTCAGTCGCTACCCAGCTGTCTGGCGGTTCTTGTTGCGGACATGTCGCGGCCCTGGACCATTATGGAGTCATTGCAAAAGTGGGCCAGTGTTCTACGAGACCATGTGGACAAGCTAAAGATTCCTCCAGAGGACATGAGAGAAATGGAACAAAGGAGTAAGAAGTTTATTTATCTGTATTTTGTTTCTTATGGGATCACTATTATCTTTGCTTTGAGTTGAATTTAGGTTACAGTGCTGATTAAAAGTAAATCTAAGTATCTAGCCCAAAATAGTTAGAAAATGTATGTGACATTTTGCTTAGTTTTCAAAAAAGAAATCTTCTCTTGAAATGAAAACAAACAGCAGCAAAGCTACCTGAAGCATCTCAGGGTGGGAGCAATGTGAGCGTTGCGTAATGAGAGCCTTGGTTCTTGCTGACAGGCCATCGAGGGGAAACAAGGAAAAGCTTGGTGAATGTTTCCTTGGGAGACTGTGTATAACATTACACATTGTCATGGCTGATTCTAGGTCATCATCAGAGAGGCCCATGATCCTCAGCTGTGTGTTCCTCGCTGCGGGCGAGTTCTGCAAATCAATGAGTGTGATGTACTCAGATATTATCCTGTTAATTTTAGATTTGGTCATCTCTTCCTTATGAACTATTCTTTTGTGTTTAGAAAGACTGTTTTCAGAGTACTTACATAAACCCTTTGGGCCTTATAAACATCCCTGTTTGTTTTCAACGTTTCAAACTTGATATTGGTTTTTAAGCCTAAAATGGTTCAATACCTACAAGGTAACCAGGTTAGGTCTAATTGCCGGAATTAAAATGTACTCAGATTTTCTGATTTATACTCAATGTATTAGATGTTAAATAAGTAACATGTCTGTAATAAGGAAGTTCTGTGATAGAAAGGGGAAGCTGATCTAGGCTTGAAAAAACTACCACTAGAACCAAAAAAAGGAATATATTTCAATTCAAGTAGTTTGAAGAAGAGCCTCCAAAATTGATTGTACATTTTAACTAACGGCTACCTTACAGTTGGTGATACAACAATCGTTTTGTTTTGATGCTGCTGGTTCTGATTTAAAAAATTTTGTTTTCTTCATTGGCTTCCATAGCTAGGATACTATTTTTAGCATGGTCATGATTTCCATGGCTAATGGACAGTGATGCTATTAGTTTGCACTGCAGCCATTTTTCTGCTGTTGTGGTCCGTTTCTGACATTTTAAATGTTATTTACTTTTGTCAGGCTCAATCCAATGTCTTCTAAAATAAAGCAGCATTGTTGTGTCTGTAATGTTGTGGGGGAACCACATTATGTAGACAGGCCAGCAGCCTGAAAGAGTGTCAGTGGCTTTTGTCCAGGCACTCTTGCACACGTCTTGCATCATGGTTGCCTCCCTTCCAAGAGCAACGTCAGGAAAATAAAGGAAGTGGCTCTGAATTCAGGCAGTGGGCCGGATATTCTGACTGCTGTAACTAAAAGGAGGCTGGGTTTTCTTGGGTCTGCTCTTGTCAAATTACAGGGTCGGCCTTTTGCTGCAGTACAGTGAGCTAAAAGAAAAAAGTTTTTCCACAGCTCTGATTGTGGAGGGATTTTATTTTATTTTTTGCAATTAAATATTTGAGAATGCAGCATGCACATTCTGACTGCAGGGTTTTAAAAATGCAGATGAGTTATTTACTTTAGCATATGTTTTTTTTTTTTTTTTAAGGGTTATTTAAATTGGAGTTTAAGTTGAGCTTTCACTATAGTTTGGGTGAATTTTGGCCTCACCTTTGTTTGTGAAACAGATAAGTAGGTCTTGATCGGGCAAAGTCTGTCTGGCTGTATTGCATTCATTTAATGTTTAAAAGTGACATAAAGTGATTTTATTTCCCTCGGTGTTAAATAAGCCTACATGTTCCTCTGCTACTGAACTTCAGAGCTCATTTTTAATGGTTGGTGTTTGTTTTTTTAAAAAAAAGAAAGCATATATTAACTGTTTCTAACTGTTAATTCTAATAATTTATCTTATTTATACAGTTTCTGGACTTGGGGGAAATCTTAATCTCCATGTATTGTTTGCTTAAAGAGGGATTATAACAGAAGTGCTTGTCCGATGATCAGAATTCTGTGTTTGAAGGAAAAACGTTTGACATAACTTTCAGCTTTGTCCAGTTTATTGGGTCTTCTGAAGCTGCATTCTCAAAGCGCCTGAGGAAGTAAGCCATAGCTTCCTGCTTATAACCCCCCACTCCGCAGTCTCCTGCAGCAGCTTTTAAAATTGTGTGGACAACTTTTGTAGCTCGACGGCACAGAGATAAATAGACTTGATCTTTTTCGCCCTGATACTAACGCATCATAATATGGGCAGTGACACAAACATTTATTTCCTCTTACAGATATTTTTTTTTTTTTGCATTTTTGTTGATGTCTTTTGGCAAAGGTAAGACAGATCTCTATGTCTTCACCTTCATATGTTTCAAATCACGATATCTCAAGTGAATAAAAGTATTGCTAATCCCAACAGAAAATAGTTATCCAAACCACCTAGATCAAAATATACCTCATGTGAAACGGTAATTACCCCCTAAACCTTAAATGCAGTTGTTCCACACTTGGAAGCAACTCTTTTGCGTTTGCGGCGTAGGAATTTTATAGCCACATTAAATGCCTTTTAGGCGTAAATGATTAAAGGTCATGCCACGCACTCTCAAACGGCTTTTAGTCTAGACTTTGACTAGGTCACATGAAGACCTTCACGTTGTTTCCTTTGCGGCATATTAAACATGTTTTTGAAATGAAGGTCACAAACTGGAGCTTTCTGGTAGTGAGGAGAAAGCAGCATCAGTCAGTAACCTTTCCACTACCATGTCGGTCCTTTTCATAAATGCTGATGGTTTTCCACCAGATGTCAAAGGGTTATAATTTGTCCTTCAGTACACACAATGCTTTCCCAATTGAAACTCGTGTCTTTGTTGTGTTTTTCAGTTTTCAGCTTGGAATATTCCTCTATGATTGCATATTTGTGGCAGTTTTCTTTTTTAACTGTTGAATCATGAGCATTTACCTTAACCAATGCAAAAGACTCCAGCAGTGCTTTGATGTTCTGGGTTTGTTAGTGACTTCATGGATGTTTTGTTGACGCACTCCTGAGGTGACTTTGATGGATTTCAGTATTTGCTTCATTTGTAGATTAGGACTCTCACTGCTTTTTTATTGTGGTTCCAAAGCCTTAGAGTTGGAGGCATGCATTATAATATAACAACAAACACAGAGCTAGAAATAAGTAAATGTTTGTTAAAGTAATTCTTGTTGCCTGGATTTGAGCAGGTAAATAAGGTGATCTGCCAATGGAGGGAGCATTTCTGCTCTTAAAATAAGATAATTGGATAATCTCATAATGGAGTTGACTTTTCTTGTTTTTAAATGTGAATTTTCTTATTCCATTGGCAATGTGTGCTACTTACCTGCTCATATCAATGGGAAATACGTTTATTTCAAGAAAAAAATACTTTTATTTCCTAGTGAATTCTGCAGCCCTACCCTCTTGGCGCTACATTTAATCCAGAAACATGTTGGTCAGCAACGATTACATTTGTCTTCACCACTACTTGAGATGTCTTTGTTATCTGGGAATAAGATGGCAGGATAAGAGGAGTTTTCCCCGGTTGAATCAGTAATACAGGTTGATTTTGTTTATTTTAATGTTAGATTTTAGACAACTAAGAAAATTCCTCTTTTAAACCCATTGTTTATAGAAATGATGAGGGCTCTAATAAAACTGAATTGCAGTTTTGTGTTGAGCCTGTTACTGTATTACAGACAAAGAAGCCAGAGTTTGAAAGGGGATCAAACGGTCTGTTATGGTCTGACTTGTTTAAGCTTTGTGTTCACTTTTGTTCTTCTTTTTTCTTTCTCCAAGTGGTAAAAGCCTTTCAAGAGTACTCGGAACCAGAAGATGCCGCCCCATCCTCCCCACGACGGGCCCCAACGTCAGGGGAAGAAGAGACTGTTGTTCTACCGCTTGGAGAAAACACACTTACACACAACTTGGGCATTCCAGTGTTAATTGTTTGCACAAAGGTAAATTCCTAATAAATAATTTATGTTAGACAGTGATGTGAGCACTCCTGACACAACAGATTTCTTCATTCATTTGCTTTCAAAATAAGCTGATTTTTCTGAGTTTGTCTGAGGGAGACTTTGAAACACACCGACAAAAACATAAACTGACACATTTAGAACGTTATAGCTGCATATTTTAGCGTATTAAATAATTCCCTGGATCAGCTGTTCATTATCCTATGACCAAATTTGACCATTATGATTCCTTTTTATAACCCTTGTAATCAAAAAGGCTTATAGTTTTTTGAACTTACAATCAGTGTGTGCACGGTTTTACTACTTTTTTATGTTTAAAGGTATGTAGTAACATTTTTTGACTTTTATTTTATACACCAGTAGCTCACTCTGATTGCATACATTTTTCTGAAACAATAGCACATCCTGCTGGGATATTAGTTATTATTTTTGTGTTTTCAGATTTGTTTTTGCTTAATCTGTTATTAATTCAAATCTGTTATTGTCGTCTGGCTTTCTGGTAGTTCAATAGTATTGCAGGTAGATGGCGCCACATCTGTTAATGTGAGCTCATTTTGTCTTTTTTGCTGGAGCTCTATTTAGGCTTAAAAAGAACAATCAAAACACTATCAGGATGGACTCTTTGTTTACATAACCTTAGTTTATCATAATCAAATGCTTTTTTGGCCTTTTTTATAGAGGCATATAACATGAATTTGTACCTTTAAGGGAACCAGAACTACTCTTAGTGAGCCAAACAAATTGCAGAGGCGAAATGATGCTTAATCATATACTGTATTTTATTATTTTGTCTCAAAATTTTATTTTATTTTTTATTTTTTTTGTAAGTCATTAGGCTACATTCTCTTTGCCAAATTTTCCTATAGACTCCTACATAAGTTACCACAACCAAAGCGAAATAAAAATCACATTCAATTATTATTATTTTTAGATATTAATTTGGTGTTGAAAGTTGGGTTTGTTTGTTTTTTTATTTAGCTTTTCTGCAGTTTTCCTTTTATGCTATACATAAAACTTTCAATCTGTGTTTAACTTTTAGTGCGACGCGATCAGCGTATTAGAGAAGGAGCACGACTTCAGAGAGGAGCATTTTGATTTCATCCAGTCCTGCATCAGACGGTTTAGCTTACAGTGTATCCTTCCAGTGTTGCCTAATAATTTAAAGTTGTCTTAAGTGAGACTGTTTATGAGACAAGTTGCTGTCAGTACCATCCCTAACTAAATCAAACAGATGGTGCTGGCCTGATCTACACTTCAGTCAAAGAGGAGAAAAACCTGGATCTGCTTTACAAATACATCGTACACAAGCTGTATGACTTTCAATTCGTCACACCAGCCTTAGTGGTGGAGAAAGATGCAGTGTTCATGTAAGTCATTTATTTGTTGCCGAATGTTTATATTTTATTTGTCTTTTTAAAATAAAATAGAAAAGAAAGTATTTTTCCCCTGTTGATCATCATTATACAGCTCTTCTATATGTTGATCTCCATCTTATGTCGCTATAATTTGAAATAAAAGCACTGTTTGCTATAATATGTATAAACCTCTTTTATTTCCCCCTCCATGGACAATGTTCTTTTTTTTCTTTTGTTACAGTCCGTCTGGATGGGATAATGAGAAGAAAATTGGGATTTTGCATGAAAACCTCACAACAGTCAAACCAGAAGATCCTTTTGAAGATTTCATCACAAAGCCTCCAGTGCGAAAGGTACGACAGATCAAATGATGACTGTGGGCATTATAAGATAACATTAGCATCAATTGCGTAATTTATCTCTCCTAGTTGGTCCATGACAAAGAAATAAATGCAGAGGATGAACAAGTATTCCTGATGAAGCAGCAGGTAAGCTTTACATTTTGATTTCAGCATTCCTCTGTGTTTTATAGTGGTCTTGACATTTTGTTTTTTTTTTGTTACAAAAGCTGAAGGATTGCACCTCTGTTTTTTTTTATAGCTTTAATAATAGATGTTTATTTTATTTTTGTATTCCCTGCTGTAGTAAGTGTAGCACTTGGTTCCCTTCTTGAGGAAACAAAACAGGAAGCATGCATGGAGGAAAATAATTTTAAATTTATTCCATTTCTCCATTCTATGTCTTACCAAAAAATGCAGAACTTAAAGAAGCATTGTAGAGTTTTCTAACGATTCTGCAACCTGTGGCCAATACACAGAGCTGGTGTTTTTGTTAGCTTGCACGTTTTGCATTTTTTTACCTTTCAACTTACCTGGAGTTTCCATTTGTGTCTTGGTTGAGACTCTGTTGAATTCTCGGTTTAGCGCAGGAACTTCAGCCCCAAAGTCAATTCAGGAAAAAACAGGCTTATAGATGTATCGATGCTGAACTACTGAAGTGTCAATTTGCTCATCAAACAATATCAAATAAAAAAAAGTTATTTTAAAGATATTTTTCTGTAAAAACTTGCATAATGTCTCTTTAATAAAATTAAATGATGATGATAATGCAGTAAAGACATGTCAATTTTCCCAGATGAATTCAAGCAGATGTTAGAAGTTACTAATATCAATTTTTCCCTTGCAGTCTTTGTTAGCAAAGCAGCCAGCAACTCCAACAAGAGGAGCAACAGTGAGTGTCTGAGAGTAGCACACTTGTAAGCTGTTCTTTTTTATTGATCTTTGCTTAAAAAGCTTTTTGTTGTGCCTTTAGGAGTCTCCAGGAAGGACAGCCTCTGGGTCTCCCAGAGCACCGAGTCGTGCTGGTCAGCCAAGTGTAACCAGCTCACCGATGGCCTCTGTCAAAAAGCCTGACCCTAACATGAAAGGTTGGACAGGATCATTTCTAAAACATTCATAAAAGGATGAGTCTATCCGGGATCCTCTGGGGTTCCTAAGTCATAAATAATGTATTTTTAATATTTTTTATTTATTGGCTTTAGACTTACCTTCTTTTTAGACTTTTCTTTTTTTTGTACTATTTTTTAAGGCTGCACTAAAAAAGAGGAAATTGTCCAGCGAGCTATTCCAGATGAAATTTCTTTTGTTTTACAATAGTGTAAACAAAATGACAAATCTGTCTATATTTATGTATATATATCTATATTTTAAGAGTTAGATGTTTATTATTCATTAAATGTAAAAGGGGGAAATTCCTAGTTTGTCTCATAAAAGGTATAATAAATACTTCTTAATACCAGCGGTTTCCCTTTGTGGAAATGCCACGATTATATTGTAATTCAATTCAGTTTGTTTATATAGCACCAATTCATAACAAATGTAATCTCAAGGCACTTTACAGTTCACCAGATCATCCAATCAGATTGATTCAAAAATTTCTATCTGAGGAAAACCAGTTAATTGCATTGACTCATTGACTCAAAGTCAATCCCTCACACTTGGCATGTTTGTAGCGACAGTGGAGAGGAAATAAAGTTAATCATTACTTAATTATAAAACCTTTGGTCTGGCTGGAACATTAAAGGTTTCAGTATTTCTAGTTCAGTAATCTTTTGATATATGAGCTTCTGTATGAGAGACATCAAAGGTTAGTTAACCAATTGGTTCAGGTGTTTGAAAGCATAATTTATTTGACCTAAATTACAAAGGACATTACTAAATGTTTTTGTCTTGAAAAGTCTTAAATTTACGCTTACGATTTAAAGTGTCTAGCAGTTTACCTATTTAAAGTTGCATGCCCCATGAGTTGGGACTCATGCAAGTTGAGTTCCTACTTCTTAACCAGTGTATTTGTGGACATCCGTGTATAGTAATACCTTACTTAAAAATGCTAAAAACGAACAGCAATAAATACAAATAAATGCAAGAAATATGCTCCAAAGAAAAAGTAACTTAACACTGATTAGTTTATATTAGACATTACAGAAAGATGTAGTGTTTATTGACATGATTGAATGTGGTGGATAATGACTTTTCAGGGGAAATTCCCAGACTTTGTGGTGATTGAGAAATGTTTGTGTTGTAGCAGGAGCTGCTAATGAAGGAGTGCTGGCCAACTTCTTCAACAGTCTGTTGAGTAAAAAGACCGGATCGCCAGGAAGCCCAGGAGCTGGAGCAGTGGGAGCTGGGGTGCAGGGATCTGCAAAGAAAACAGGTACAACCCATCATTTCAGTGTTAACCATCCATTAACCTTTTACTCAGTTGAATATTGAGACAATAAAGAGTTTTACATGAAAAGGATTCCAGATCCTAACCAGCTTATGTTAGATCCAGTTCTTAAAGCTGCTTTGGGCCAGTTTAAAAGTTAAATATCTTTTATTTTATTCCTATACATTCCCTTATGATTATCCCATAAGTAAAATCAGCTTTCCTCTATTTACAGCAGGTCCCTCTATAGGCTTTTTTTCTTTGTATTTCATGAGAAAGGGAATTGGCTCTAATTCTCTGGGTGTGACGGACGGCACCTTCACCTGGATACTTGACGCCTTAGAAAGAGATGCATCTAAGACCAGTCATAAGTAAATCTCAAATCCAATCACATACTCCACAAGAGTAAGAAAGTAGATTTTGTCTAGCATGGAAAAAGGGGGGAAAATGGAGCGTGATTGAGGATTAAATAAGATGAGAATAGATATAGCAGAAGCTTTCAACAAATTAAAGGAGCTCAGCTCTGCCTTTAGAATGAAAAGGGACTCATATTCCACCTTCGTCTTTGCTGAAATGGTTAGATGCTCTATTCAAAATGACTTAAATATTTAGAACATTCTTACCTCAGATATCTGTGAAGAGTCTCAGTCATCCAGGTCATGGTCAAGGTTGAAAAGTTCTGTTTTGGCAACTGGATGTGAAGTTTCCAGATAACATTAGGCCTCTAAACCAAAAATCTTTCCAGTCACAGCAGCCTGGTGCTTTTCCTCTTCTCCCATGAAGGTGAACAACATGCTGTCATTTCAGCTTCTCACCAGAGGAGGGGAGGAGGAATGTCTTAAAAAGTCTCTTGAACTTGGCTATGCTACTTTAACTGGTTTTCTCTTACAAAACCAGTTAAATGGTTAAAATTATTCGTCCAAACGTTATTCAGTAGTAGAAAAGTTTTTATTACAAAGAGTACTGAAGAATTGTCAATTTAAATTTTAATTGCTCAGTAGTTAATGAGATTTAATATGTTTAAAGAATGATATAAAATTATTGACAAATTTTGGTTTGCAAAATTTAAGGAAAAGTTTGCAAGATTGAAATAAAAACATATATTAAGTTTGGGTTGAAGAGATATATTTCAAAGTTTAGTTTTGATAGATATGTTTTTTTAGAAAACGTAAAGCTTTATATTACAATACTAAAAGTAGTTGCTTTATGCTCTAGAAGTTAGAGCAGTGTAATGGATTTTCAGTGACAACATACTCTGTTTACTGTATATTGACTGGCCTGGACAATAAATTAATGGCAATATAAACGGCAATCATACATTCATTCAATAAAGGGGATATGACATTTGAACGCATTTACAGTTTTCGATATACGCTGCAGTCAGAGATTACAGTGTTGGTCTCAGTTAACTTTCTGAACGCTCAGTTAACTGAGTTCACTATAACGTCCACTATATAGTCCCTGCTCTATATAGTGATTAAGGGATTTAGGGATCCACGACCAGCTGTCATGAACAGTAAAGTCTCATAGAGGCTGGCTGCCATGGGGCAGCTACTGCGGAGGATTTCCAGTGACAGGGCACCGTTAGAATGTGGGGGTCTGCGCAGCTCCAACAGCAAAGCAAAAATTTCAGGGCAAGATCGTAGTCTTAATAGACTGACTGCGCAGATGATGTTTTGAGGTTGATTTTCTCACTTAAAAACATTGAAACTTCTTCTTTACCAGCTAATAAGAGCAAATATAGCAAAGAGACACTCTGCCATTGAACATAAGAGCATCAGATGTATCTGTAAACACTTTACTTAACTCGCCTCAGGAGCATCAAAGATCCATCAGACGCTTCTATGCTGCTCAAATCGCATTCGATGTGAACGTGGCATAGCAATATGTTGTGCTGTATAAGTTGTACCCCACATTATGCAGTTCGCTTTTATGTAAAAAGTACTAATTGCTTTCATAAGTAAAATAGGAATAAGAAAATCTTGGTCTTTGAAGCTGTTGGCAGTTTTTGTGTAAAGTTTTATGTTCCAAGCCTAATTCAGATGGTTAAATCAGGAGAAAATAAAAGGTTTCAGCTTTGACTCAACATCTGACTGCTGAGGAAACAGGCCTGTATTCACTGAAAGCATCGATCACTGGTGTCTGATTGCATGGAGACTAATGACTCACAACTCCTAAGGCAGCATGTTGTGAATTAATGCTATGGAAGTTAACTGAACTCAACTCCATTAATCAACCTTTTTGTTTTTCTTTGAGCCACTTGGCTCATTCAGCTGCTGCATTTTCAGTCTGTCTTTTTATTGTTGTGATTTAAATACATGGATGCTGAGAATGTCCATGTCTAACTCCTTTCTCTGCCCCAGATCCCATTTGTTACACTCTAGCCCTGAGCACTGCTAGCATCCGATTAACGAGCTGAAAGAATGCTGCATGAGTACATGTTTTGTACGTCCTGCATGAATGTTTACTGGAAAAACGTCACTAATCACTCACATCTCACAGCATTCCTATCATCCATAAGTCATTTTCTTGCTGGATGAAGAAAACTGTATTGTTTTTTTGTTTTTTTTTTCATGAAATCACACAGAAGCTACAGGAGATTACTTTTGGGTTTTGTCTTCCTTTTATCTTTTTTCCCTAAGGGCAGAAGCCGGGTTTGACTGACGTCCAGGCCGAGTTGGACCGGATGACTCGCAAACAAGACTCCTCCACAGTTTCAGCTAACAACATACCGCCAACAGAAAACGAAGCGTGAAGGCAACAAAACGGCTGCATCGTCCACTGCGTTAATACTCTGGAAAAAAATATATGTACATGTGAGCATAAAAAAAAAAGAAAAAAATTGACCAAATCCCTAACGCCTGTATCAGTCAGCACACACTGTCAGTTTCACCAAATGAGCTTCCGATGCGATCAGATGGTGAGATGGGATGAGGGATAACACTGATGGATCTCCTAACGAGATGAGGAAGTGCCGAAGGCTTGGCTTTATTTCTGTCTTCTCTTCAACTGTAAATGCTATTTTGTGAGGGATGTCAGTTTTATGGAAATGTGTGCACACTCCCTGGCAGCCAACCTGATGTGCTGGGCTGCAGGCCCCCCCGCTTCCTGGGGGTAAAGCACTATCCTTGTGGATTTTGAGAGGTGACGTCATAGTTGGCCTTATGGCCTTTGGTTCAGTTTAACTCGCAGAAGGAATTGAATTGGGATTGGAAAGGTATTTAAACATAAATGTTAAGAAAGGTAAATAAAATACTTGCAAAGATATGTAAACAAAAAAAAAAAAAGATGGACATGATACTATTGTATTTATACAAGGGTTCTCCTTTTTGTTTTATTTTCTGCACCATTTCTCGGTAAGAGTTAACGTTTATCTTTATCACATAACATGTTAAATTGTCACTGACATCATGACACTAATATGACATGTCTACCCCGCTCATAGCATATCTTTTACTCATCTTGAAGGATTCTGTAGATATAAAAGCATAAAAACAATACACAAACTGCATTTCTGTCCAAACAGTTAACATAGCCTCTTTGACTAAATGAGACTGGATGGGATTTTGGACGCGCTTAGAGGTCAGAGCAGCGTTGCTTGTTTAGGTAAAGGGTTGTATATTTTGGGAGGGGGCTTGGGCAGCATCTTTCCTACTATAACTCCTAAGTGCCTCGTACAGTTAGCCGTTTGTGTCGTAGTAGAGGTGCTTGTCTACACTAGAGGAAATGCACTGTAGCACCACTGTCTTGTTTTTGTCCCCTGAATAATTTATTTTGTTTCCTGCTTTTTTTTTTCTTTTGTCATTGTACAAAAGCCTGTGGTCTGTCTATTTTTCAAAAATAAGCTTTCTGTGGCCTCTTAAAAAACGTTTAATAGAGTAAATGCCTTCAAGTGTACCGGCTGCTGACATCGAGGAGAACCGCTACATACGTTCAGTGCTGCGGTTGGAACAAAACTGAGATCTTATGGTGTTGGACAGCACTTTTCCTCCTCTGGTTTCATATTTGTTCTCCATGCTGTACTTTGCATGTTGGTCAAAGACATTCCTGTTGAAGTCTGCAGAGAAACAAACGCATCCCTGTAGGAACCCCATTTCTCCATTTAGGTCTTTTTTTTTTGTTAGTTGAATATGATCATAAAATTACGACCTTTTGCCTTCAATGTACAGCTGACAGTTTGCCACACTAGCCTCCACCCCCCACCCCCTTGCCTTCACAAGGAGGAACTGAACTTCGTGTGTCCTTAAGGGGTTGCTTGATTGTCTTCTGCCATTACTGTTTTGATCTTTTACTTGCAGCAGGTAAACTGTACCATATCTTAGTGTTTGTTAGTTTTCTAGTTTGATACCATAATCCAAATGAATTCAGCACAAAGTTTTTTGTTTGTTTTTTTATATGCAAGGCCCTGCTTAATCCTGTGGATAATATTCAGTGTGGAGTGGCTTTTTACAGAATTACAGTCTGAGGAAAGCAGCTGTTTTTTATTCTGTGTACAGGGGGGACTGGAACTTGTAACCAAAGATGCATATTAGTCCCTACTTTCTGCATTTGTATGTCTTCCATTAGATTAACCAGTGGCCTTTCTTGTGAAACTCTTGCATGAAGCTCTAGCATTCCACACATCAGACCTGCCTTTAAACCTTTTATCAACAGCCTGTAAATTGGTTAAAAAAACAAATGTGCTATTCAGCATTTTTGGTCTGTAGCCTAATGAAACACACTGAAAGCCACTTAAACTAAACCATTGGCCAACAGGAATTAATGTATTTACATTTTCTCTTAGCTGTAAGGAAAAATCTAAATTCCTTCATTGGTCATCTGGCTGCTTTTTGCAGTATAAAAAAATCATAATTAACTAAACGTTTTCTTTTCCAAGGTGTATTGTGGTGTTTTTTTTTTTTTTTTTTTTTTTTTTTTTTTCTCTAGTTGGAATTGATGAAGCACAATTAAGGATCAACCAGAAGCAGCTGGAACACGCTAAATAAGCACTTCCCCAAAAACATTTAAAGAAGGGTCTCGTCTTTTTAATTTTTTATTTAAAGATTATAATAAATTCCCCCCTTTTTTAGGAAAATTGCTAAAAATCATAAGACAACTGTTAGTGTTTAAGGAGTATAGTATATGTGATGCATATTTTACCTGCTGGTAGTTAAGTGGCACCCTGATTCATTTTGATCATCCCTTAGCCATACTGGCATCATTGAGGCTTTCAGCTGTGTGGAGTGCTCTCGTGCTGCTCTGTCGGAGTATATCTTCTTTATGAAGATCGGGTGTTGCTTCGATCATTTGAAACAGATAAAAAAAAAATTTACTTTTGTACTCAGATCTGACCTGAAATTAGCTGCTTCATAACATCCTAACTGAATGGCCTTCAACCACTATTGACTGTCTTCATCTATGCGAGACTATGAGCTTCTGCTTCCAGTCCTTTTATATTCAGGATATCAAGACATTTTTAAGCACATGGCTGGCTCTTTTGTGTCCTAGAATGGTTCAAGAGGTTGATGTTATATTGTCTGTAACAAAACTATGTAGCCTCTAAGCTGCCATGTGGATCCTAGCTTCTTATGCTGACAAAGATAAGGAAATGTTTATCAGAACCCTGGCTTCAATAAAACCAAGAATCCCATTTTTTTGTCTGTTTTTTTTTTTTTTGTTTTTTTTACATAAAGAAGGCATTATGGTTCCTCTTCATATAAACACATCACCTAGTGGTTTTAGTAGACATTATTTTAAATTATTGAATCATAGGCAATGCACATCAGTAAAACTCTACCCCAGAAGTGATAATGAGGGGCAGTAGATGTACAAAGACCGACCCTTCACCTTACTTCAATAGCAAAGTTCTTTTTACCCTTATGATTATAATGCAGCAGCCCATTCTGCACCACATCTTATCCAGCTCTGGAATCAATTAAAAATAGGTGTGGCAGCATTGCTCCTTCTCAGTGACATAACACTTGCTCAGAAGAAACAACGCTAGGATAAGTATTGCCTTCCTGTCATTATTCACTATATCAAGGAGATAGAGGTCAAAGGTCGTTTTGAGATGTGTCACTGGCCAGGCTGTGAAAAACCTCTGACATTTGGCAACACCTGGACTGATTATTGTATATTATATTAAAATGTATATTCTATATTTAAAATATTTATGATGGAATATACATATATATATGTATTTCATACATAGCAGTAAAGTTACAGCATCTGGTGACTTTTTTTCTAGTGATTTTATGATTGCAAAGCTGATTATGTAATTGCACAGAACACACACTGTCGCTAATGACGATTTATATCTGAGTTAAATTGTTACCATGATGTCTTTACTTGCTTGGCAAGGTATATGGTTAATTCAACAGTAGTACCGGATTGGATATTGGCTCAGCCCATGTATCAGTATCGGGTAACTCAAAACAAATATTGGTGCATATCTAGATGTTGAATCAAATAAAATGTATATTTTGATTACAGTGAAGGTTAACATTTAATGCTAACTGAATCCAATTGTAGGCAATTTTCGTGAAGTACAATAATTGATTTTTAAGGCTACCCACAAACTAGTTGGTTGTTTTTAACCTTAGGTGGCTTGTTATACCCTTTTTACCACTAGAGGCCAGTAACGCGCAAAGAAACTGAACTTCACTGAGTAACTTGAAACCATCTAAATTATTCTGGCAACCACTGCTTACGTAAAATATATATTTTATGGGATCCTAATTATTTATTTTGTTTTTAAAGTATCCCTCCAAATGTGTGATTATTCGGCACCAACAGATTTTAACATAAACAAGCCGTTTGAAGGATAAAGACGTGTGCGTAAAAAGAGCCAAATTAATGGTGTAGTGGAAATACGGCGAGCAAACTGCAGCTATATTGGTCTCTCCCGACGTGGTTCAGGCTGAAACGGTTTAACAGGCTGCCTGGGAATAAATCGGGCACCAAGCCTAGTGAAGAATGTGCAGTTTTTCAGAGGGGGGCGGAGACAAGCTGCTTTCCATCCACAGCGAGCAAAGCGGCGACCACTGCGCGCCTCTCTAATTGAGTTAGTTAGAACCCCAATTACTGGAGGATTTGTTTTCCTTTCGCTTATAGATAATAGATAATGTGTGATCTAAATAATAATCTAGGTCGCCCGGTGTAAACGGACAGTGGGACTGGAACCAGAGGATGAGTGCGGCTCTCTAAAGCCAGCGGGAGGAAACGCAGCGGCTTTGCTTTTCTTGCGCGTCGTGACCTGGACCATCTACCGCTGGATGAGGCGATGAAAAGCGAACCTTAGGGTTTGTTCCCTCCGTTCACCTCCAGCCTACATAAAACCAAGTCTGATCTCCACCTCATAACCTGCAGCGCAGCCTAGACCCTGAGTTTGTTACCAGCGCTGCGCGTCCCCCCTCCTCTTTCTCTCCATGCTGTTAATAATAAAGTCTGCTGCTTAGGGTCCAGAGTCTCCAGAAACCACCATGAGGACCACCGAGGAGACCGAGGGCTTTGATGGCGAGGCCTCCAACACGTCCATGATCTCCGGGGCCAGCAGCCCGTACCAGCCCACCACAGAGCCCGTCCTTTCGCGCAACGTTTTAGGGGCGATACGATGCGACATGGAGTACCTCCGGTCCTACTTGGGGATTTTAAAGGCGGTGGAAGTGGTGAGTTCATGCACACATTAAGCTGCAATTCATGAGACTATGACGCACAGCATAAGCCACTGAAACTCATTAAGTTGGATAAAACATCCAGATTTCCAGGGAACTTGAAAAAAAATCACTGATTCAGTGTCATTCTTCATGCTAATTGGTTTATTTTCCACACATTAACTCAAAGTTGGTTTATGTAAGAATTATTGGTTTAATAGAGCATGCATAAATGGTGAGAACCAGCATCTGTATCACTAACCAATCAACATCCTCATGTCATGTTTTCCAGCATCACAGCTTCCACATCACACTATTTTTGTGATTTTCTCCACAGTTTAGATGAACTCAGTTTAATATATTGTGCTGAGTTCAGTAATGAAACTACTTCCCAGTCGCTTAGTCATCTATTATGCTTTAATTACACCTCTGATATGAGATAAGAGGGAACATCAAAGTAAATCGAGCTTCCCCAAAGATCTGATAAAACTCAGCAATGGAGGAAATATCAATTTAGGCTGGTCTACTTCTCTTCTTCTGGTGCCAGACAACTCAATACAGCACTACACACTTGTGCACATCAAGTGTTTGTGTGTCCAGAACAGGAAACAGGGAGTAGTAATTACCTCAGTCAGTGTTTACATACAGCATAACCAAAGCATTGGCTCCATCCTCTTTTGTTCACTTTTAGAGCTTGTCTTGCAGAAGAAAGAGGAATGTTTAAATGCTTTGGCATCTTGCTTGAGTGTTGAGAGGATTAAGAAGAAGCTCAGCTGTTGCACACACCTGCAATGTTTACCTTTGTGCACGGGTGGGAAGAGAGCATTCCAAGCCATCTGTCATCAATCTAAGAGAAGTTTAGAGCTTATTAAATAGATTCATACTCAAACAAGGCCTCACATTTTAACTCCGCTACAGAACAGTGTTTGTTGAATCAGTTTTGAATGATAGTTTTACCAATTCTTATAGGTAATGGCAGTTATATTGTGTTTCTTTTTTTTTATATAATAACAAACGGGCTTAACTTTATGGTCATTGTGTATTGGCCAAAAACAGTTACTAACATCCTAACCTATAAAAAAAAAAAAGTAGACATTTGGCAGAGTTTTTTTTATTTATTTTTTTTGTTCCAGAGATAATGTCAGTGTTAATTTATGCACTAAAAAAGAAAACTAATACTCGTGTCACTTACACTGAAGCTTATTTATAAGAATAAAGGTTGTGCCATTGTCTAGTTTTGGTTATAGAGGGATTTAACTTAGAGGTGCATAAGCGTTTTGTTGGCAAATCAAGCTTTCATTCATGAACAAATTTTTCTTTTTATAAATATGTTTGATGAAGAGCCAAAAACAGCTTTAAGAGGATACCAGACTTTCGCTCTATCACTAACATGTTGAATTCTGCAGTTCTTGCGGCTCACGCTTGAGCAACCTGTAGTTGGAGAGCCGATGTTTTTAATCACATGCAGGCCCATCTTTGTTGGAGCATTTTCAAATCAGATGCAAATCAAAGACCCACCCATTGTTTACCTGGGTTAGTGATGTCTTTTATTTGGTGAGTTGTGTTCTTGCCAATCTGAATCATGATGGGACTGCTTATAGGATTTCCTTGGAATGAGTTTCACTGACTGCAAACTAAAACGACCATCCCTCAGTGTTGTTTTTCTCTTTTGTTAAAGATGGCTTTCCCCATCCCTCCTTCAATCCATCTGTTCTCTTTGTCTATAATTTGAACATCATGGTCGTCAAAGGTGTGTCCTTAGCTTGAGCTGCAGGTGCACTGCTCAAGTGTTAACATTTGAAGAGAAATGTACGCGGTTTTCAGAATCTTTTACAAACAGAAATGGAAATTTATCTGTGTATGCATTTGTTCTCCTGGTTTAGTAGCTTGTAGAAACACCTCTTGTTACATTTGAAGCTCCTGATCTTTTTTGGGTATGACTCAACCAGCTGTGCACATAAAAAGAATCAGACCTCCAATTCCTTTTAAGATAACGGCTAGAGCTCACATTGGGCAGAGCGCATCATTGTTTATGTCATACTTAAAGGTATGGGGAGGATTTTTGCAAATTTTTCAAAAGACCCGCCCTCTACACTTAAAAATAAAAAGTAAAACAGGCATAATGCTGTACCCGCTCTGAGAGGGAATGTCTATTAAACACCAGCGAGAGCGTGCAACAGCCCATTTCTCGTCGTGCACGCTCTGTTTAAAAATTGTTGTTTGCATCGTTCATACCATCTTTCTTTCCAAAAGAAGATTTGCATTTTTTCCAGTATGTCAGACTCACCACTGGTACACTGTAAGTGAAAATGGAGATGAACATGTAGGACAGCCTAATGTTAACATATCACCAGAATGATTGACAATTAGTAGGATCTTTTATTTTAATGATCCATTCGGAAGAAGAACATCCTCCACTATACCTTTAGGTAGAGGTGTGGGAATAAATCGATTGGCGATGTTTTGTGATTTTTCGGCTGCCCAATATAATATCGATTTTTCAGTTCCTATTATCGATAAAAAAAGAACAATTTTTACCTTAACCAATGAGGAAAAGTGGGCTACTTCTGTAACGCTGTATCTGTAACTGAGGAAATTACAGTGGAAGACGTGGATTAACTCGAACCCCAAACAACATGGATACCAAAATAATTGCATTTTCAATATTTTCAATGTTTTTTGTTTGTTTTTTTATATATACATTTCATTTGCTAGCTGGTAATAATATTGCAATATAAAATAATATTGAAATATCTTGATTATACCGTATTGTGATGCGTATCGTATCACAACACCCATGCCACTACTAAACCCTATGCTGTTGGATTTAAACTAGGCTTTTACTGAACCATTGAAAACATGAATGTGCTCGGATATAATCTCTTCCATAGTTGTACTGGCTGTATTTAGTTCATAACACTAGTTATCTATATATTATATTTATCTATTAGTAAGATTCTGTTTATAATGGTATTCATCTCTATACTCATTCAGTAGGAAACCCATGTCCTGTATTTATGGAACCAATATTTGTCCTGCACTTGCTGCTATTGCACTTCTGGTTAGACCTAAACTGCATTCCGTTGCCTTGTACCTGTACCTGTGTAATGACAATGAAGTTGAATCTAATCTAATCTAATCTGTATGTTGAGAATCATTTTCAATTTAGCATCTAAAACTGGTTCTCTTGCAGTTCTGGCCAGAATTTTGCGCCATTTATTAACCTGTTAACTCTTAACTACCTTTCCTGTCCACGCATAGTATTATATTGCCACCACTGTTTCATGGTGTTAAGGTTTCCACCACACATAGCATATTCATATGTAGGCGTAAAAGTCCTTTTTTTATGTGTTTTATTCAATTATAAAAAAAATTGATGTTTAAGTTTTTATCTTAAAAAGATTTGAGAAAATTCAATGGATTTGAATACGTCCCAAAGCAGTGTTTATCCTGTTGCTATACTTTTCTTCGACTGGTTTTATTTGTGTCAGGGGCTTGTTTCACTGCCATAATGGTTTTTGCAGCTGAGAAAGTCAAATTTGTCTTTCTCTGACAAGGATAGGACCGATGAAAGCCTTCCAAGTTACACTCAGTATCTGTGAAGAGCCTTACCGGCTTCTAGCCAAACATTAATAGCTCCGCTGGCCTTTAATTTTAATATCCTATCCAAGGCTGCAAGATAACCGTGTAAAGCTAAGATCTGACTGCATGTTATGAAATCTGGAACTGGGATTTGGTTAATAGTCCTTGAGCATTTGTTGTGAAGAGATAAGCTTTATTAAGTCACATAAAGAAGTTATTTCCATTAGCACAGAAAGAAAACTCCCCTATTTTCTAGGCATGGCAGAAGAAAGAGTTCTGCTTCGGGAATCATAAACTTGTCAACTTTTAACTGTTTTCACTGCGACCTGTGTGTGCTGGAAAGTCTCACCCATTCCTCCTTACAATGGCTCCCTCCTAATTACTTTTTTAAAGGAATTGTTTATTATAGTCCCTCTAAACTCAGGCCTTGTTTAATACCTCTTTGATATTGGCAATGATTTTATATTTCAACAAACAAAATAACCCAGAGTGACCTTGGATTTACTAAGCAGTGGAAGTATTCTGAGCACTTTTGTGATATAAACGAATTATTTGCATTGGTTATGACATAAATAACACAGAGATTAAATAAACTGGTAAAATAGATATATTGAAATGCCTTACCCCAATAAAACACACTTTTTAAAGTTTTTCAAGGTATAAGGAAATAATAGCTGGAATGAAATACCAGATGAACTCATTAAAGCTTCTTATAAGGATGATAATAGCTTCCTTTTATATTTGAAGCAAGGATGGATGTTATCATAAAATCTTCTGAGATCAAGATAAAGTAATTTATTTAATACAGGCTTTGATTGCCTGACCGTAGGAAACCTTTGTTTATGTTAGATCATTGTTGATTCTGCTAAAGCTAAACTTTGCTGTTTTCAACAGTATATTTTTGGGGTTTATTTTAAAACCTCCAAATCTACATTTACAAAAAGGTTTCTGTTTTTTTAACATTGACATACACCCTAAGTAAGTTGAATGCACATTCAGTTGTGTTTAAATAGTGCATGTTAGTTAATGTGAAACAAGATTAATTACATTTTCTGAAATTTACTCCTGCAAAGACATAAAAAAAGACTGTTTAATTGGGTTCATGCAGGGACTGACTCAGCTTACATAACGAGGGAAATGAAGGGTACCTTGGCACACTCGATGAGCAATCAAAACCCTTTGTTAATTATTGCGCTTCTTTCACTGAGGATTCTTTGAGCAAAGCTGTATGCAGCGTGCATGAAGCCAATAGGCCATCTGTGTTAATTTATAATGTGAATTTGAAGCTGCAGCGCTGCAAATAAAGTGTTTTATGAAATAAATTCCCTTTTAGTTGAAACGCAACATGAATTTAAACTCTTTAGCTATACAGATACAAATGCCATCAGAAAAAAACAGCATAAATGCATTAATGGTTCCCTGTTAAAGTCCCT